GCATAAGTTAAAACAATAGTATTTATACTAAATATACATGCATGTGCGCACAAGTCTGTAGACCCGCGCGCGCACGCGCAAAACGCGTGCGCTCATACACACGCACACATGCGCGTATGCATGCACATATAAATAGAAAGATAGATAGATAGATTGATAAGTTGTTAAATAAGTAGAAATATACATGTAATGATAAATCCATCTATCGAGAGAGAGAGAGAGAGAGAGAGAGAGAGACAGAGACAGATCGATAGATAGATAAATAGACATACAGGTGGATAGATGGATAGATAGATAGATTGATGGATAAACGGATGGATGGATGGATAAACGGATGGATGGATGGATCAACGGATGGATGGATAGATGGATGAATATAGAGTCATATATCTTTATTAACCGTATAACAATTTTCTCTGAATACGTATATAACTTAGATAGCTTACATTCAAATTTCGTTTAATATAATTAATATTTCAATGTGAACATTTTATTTACGAACATAAGTATTTAATATTTTCTTAATGCTAAATCTATAAATCTATATTAAATAAGAGATGCATTCATTCACGGTATAGAGATTCAAAATTTTTGAAACTATCGAAATTTATAACTTCATTTACATTTATATGACAAATATAAATATTTATACCTTAAAATGTTTATAAAGAAGTTTTTAAATAAATCTTAACGAAATTTATTTAACTCAATATCGATTGTGTTTTATTACAATTGTTTCTGGTAGGTACAAGTCCATGTTTATTCCACTTCAATAAAGATAGTCGATATAACAATACCTAGAGCATTTGTTTCTGGCGGATAGTGAAATTTTAATTTTATGGTGCTATAAAGTTAGAGCAACGATTTTGATTGTGGAAATTATAGTTATGTATACACATACAACGCGATAGCTAACTGAATAATGTGTATTTACGTATGCATCAAATTCCTATGTATATAATGCAACGAAATACTTTCAAACGTGTGTTAGAATACAACAAAGAAAACCATAATTAAAAGTTAATTTAACATTTTTAGATTAATTTAATTTCTTTAACGTTGTTAACCTTAAATCAATCTCATTGGCCTTGAATTCTAAAATGCGGTCAACATTTATATTATATCAGTAAACTTGACGTCAACGGTAACAATCATAACTCGGTAACTAAAAGTTGAATGTTTCGTATGAAACAAAAGAAAATAAAAGTAAAAATAATAAAATTAAATATTCGAAACATGTTTCGTAATTAAAACAATATTTTGCAGTTCAAAAATTTATATCGTTTAAATTTATTTATTTTAATTACGAGAAAAAATACGAGCTTAAGTTAAGTGAATTTTATATATTAATATAATGCCTTTATTATAATATTTAATGGATAATTTGAGCGATGAAAATCCTATTGATTATATCCATATTTTCAATTATTGCGCATAATTTCGGACTAAATTTTTATGAAAACTTAAAGTATTTGTCCCAACAGTTATTTTATAGAAATTTAATCATAAAAATTAAAATTTAAATTTAATATTCTAAATGAAATATATAGAAAGATAAATATTATATGTATATATATATATATATATATATATATATACATAATGAAACCTTATTTAATATCGGAAAACTTCTCAAATTTATTGAAATTATCTTTTATTTATTAAAGACTAGATATTTTCTATAGCTATCTATTTATAAACATTCTATTTTCAACATAATTTTATAATCAAATAAATTTTTAAGAAAATTTTTAGGAAGCATTTTATACTTTTTGAGCTTACTATAAGAATATTTAATTCAGAAGAATGGATTTATACAAAATTTTTTGATATTTTTTAATGAAATATTAAGTTTTGTTAGCGTTCAGCTTAATTATACATTAAAGTTTAATTATTATAAAATATTTGGTAAAAGAAATTTACTAGAAATGTTATTTCTGCATTCGTATTATCTATGAAATATACAGAGATAAGACGTTTGATAAATTCATATATTAATTGTGATATTTTTGTAATAATTCCTGTCAACATATTAAGTATTTACATTTTGAATAAGATTTTATATAAGTAATGTGAATAGAATGAAAATAATTATTTTAAATTTCATTCAAATAATAAATCAAAATAGTACGTCAAAGGGATATTTTGAAAAAATTTTCATAGTTTAATAATATTCTGAGATATTGTATAATTATCATTCTTAATTATTGATAGGAACTTCACTATTTAATTTAATTCTCGGAGCTCCAAAGTTATTTTTAACGTTTATAATTTCTAATGTTAAATAAATTTATTATGATTTAGTTTGATTCATTTGATGCTTATTAAATAATTACTTAGGTTTCGAAAATAATGTGCGATTGACGGTTATAAAACAAAAAACAATTGTAATAATTTATGATCTTATTTATAAATATATACATTATTAAAGTATTTATTAAAAGCATTTAATTAGCAATTATTAACAGTAATACTTTTCATATTGATATTTAATTTTTAATTGTAGTTGTCACAACTTTTTAATTTCACAATGGCTTTCTGTTAATTGATAATATTAAAAATTTTTACGGTTTCTCAATATTATAATGAGCGATAACAGTTTTAGAATGAAAATTGTGCTTTAATTAATTAAACTTCTATTTGGAGTTTCATATTAAAACTCTAAAAATGGTTAAGATGGAAATTTGTTAAGATTTTTACTACACATGCGTATGCATTACGATATTATCAATAAACATTAAATGTTTGTTTTAAAATACGAAAACCATATAGAATTGTTTTCTTCGATGTATCATACTTTATTATTTCGCATTAAAAACTATTTCCGAATTAGTAATAATTGATTACAAGAAATGAAAAATTATTATTGCACCGTACTGATTTTACACATATTTATCGTATTAATAATGAATCAAACTAAAAAAATTTTATAACGCAAATGTTAAACACACACACATATATATATATATATATTATTAATTAAAATTGCTTAGTTCAATGAAAATACATAACTCAAATAAAAATAAAAGGAAAAAAAAATCTTAGTAAATTAGATAATTGGCAATAATATCGATTAAAATCTAAACGTACAGATATATATATATATATATATATATATAATTTGGAACTCTAAGCGTTAACAGATTAAATAAAATAAATTTTTTTCGACTCTACAACATAGTCCTTCGGATAAGGATTATACTTATACAATCGTCCGGTTGTCTTTTTTTTTTTTTTACAGTCTCGCAGGAGGGGTCATCATCACCAGGAAGTAAATCACCACCATCACGAGTACAATCACCATCATAATGAGAATGACGATAATGATAATGAACAATGGCAGGTTTACAATCTCGGTTTGAATGCAAATTCTGATGCACTTATGCGTATGCATTCAAATGCACGTGGAAATGGAAATCGAATGTTTCGATTGTATGGTTTTCAAAACGGAGTGGAGGAATTATTACTCTATGGGTCTGAGTTGCGTGCAAAAATCCTCGAAACTCTTGGTACTCTCGTCTACGATCATTATGATGAATTTAGTATAGATCAACTGGAGGCATTATATAGAGTCTATCATGACACTTTACGGCGAAAGTATAATATTTTTGAAGTTGCTAAGAAACTGAAATGGCAACGCGAGGTCTTTAACAACAGCGTAATCTGTAAAACTGTGCTTGAAAAGATGTGCTCGTGCATGAAGGACAGTTCGAACGTTTGTACGAATATTAAAACACCAAATTATCGTAGAAGTAATCCACGTAAGATATCGAAAAATGCTTTGAAAGTGAGCGAACTCTTTCCAAAAGATCTAACACTGGCAAATCTGTTAAAGCATATTCAGAAAAAGAAGCTTAAAATCACTCCACAATTAATTTCTGGATTACTTTTAAATGTACCATATAATAATTTTAATAACGATGTGCATAGAGCAGAAAAAATATTGGTTTCATATTTGAATTCATTAAGTAATAACAAATATTATAATAGCTTGGAAAACTTGAACAAATACAGAACTATCGATGATTTCTTAAAGTCATTCTTAGAGCAGAAAGCCGAACAGTTCCCGGATCAGGCAAAGAGAGCTGCATTGTTTTTAGCCGAACATGTCCAACGAGATACAAACTCTATAAGCGAGAATATTGAAAACTTTGGCATAACTTATGAAAATAAAACTATCGACTTGAAATATTTATGCGAGCTTGTGATACCTAATGATCTTGTAGATTTGGATATTATTGAATCTAGGGATTACTTAGAGTCTGAAATGAAAAGAAATCATGTTGTAAATCGGTACTTAGAACTCGATAAATATGAACATGCAACCCCCGATCAATTATTATTAGAAATTCTCCGTCAAATGAAGCGAATATCAAGAATAATATCATTCCCTTCGAATGTCGTGAGGGCTCTAAGCGCACATGCGGATTTTTGGAGAAAAGGTCGAAATATTGACAATGTTGCCGACTTTATAAATCTATTTAAGGCGTATGATAATTTAATCGATAATCCGAAGTTCAAAAGGTTTTTCCAATTAGCAACAACGATTCAAAATAAGCTTAGGAACGAAGAAAATATTCATCTTGAATTAACGTGTACAATGCCGAGACCTTGCCTCCATCGAGTCCTCTTAAAGATTATAGAGTGCGATATAATTGACGATGAGACGAAAGCCGAGATCTTAGAATTTATGAAACTACTCGATCAAAATGGCAGACCCTTACTAGTGGAAAATCCATTGAATAAAATTACTACGTCCAGTGGAATAACAAAATTACTAGAATTTAGAACAACTAGACCCACTGAAATCACATTCGTTTCTTCTCGGCAACCTTCGAAGAACGATGGTTACTTGGTGCACGGAGAATTAAAGCCGAAGCCTAAGAAACATAACCTATCAACCAATACAGAAGTGAATTTCGACGAGAGGGAATTAGGAACAACGCCGAATAGTTCTGGTGAAGAAAATACTACTCCAAAATTCTTTCGTCATCTATCAACAAATGCAATTTCAACCGAATATCCTGTCGCTTATAATAAATTTTCTACCAATATATATTCTAATATTCCAGAAAATAAAGAGCCATCGCTAGACGATCAAGGCGATGTCGATTCTTCAACGGACAATATGATTTTTAAACTCACGCCAAATAGTGCGTCTACATTAAATCCAAAAATAAAATCAAAAGATAAGCACCCAAGAGGAAAGCCTATAGGACCTAATAAAATATTGAAATTGCGACCTTCGGGCAAGAGCAGTACAATTATACCAAACCCAGATTCCAGCGATTCTCAAGAGTATTCGGAAGAAGGTACGACAGTGTATCCTGGAAATGATATTGACGGAGAGACTATTGTAACTATCGCAACCGAAAATCCAAGTGAGTTTTCATATGAGACTACTACAAATTTAATAACAACAGTTACAGAACCAATAGATGTATCGGCAGAATATACACCGATTAATAATGACTCGCGCGAGACCATAATAGACGATAATGCTTCAAATATGTCAATAGAAGAAAGTACAACGAATTATTCAATGGAAGGTACGAGTACCGAGGCATCAAGTACTACAATTAGACTTGAGAAAAATGCAATTTTCCCAGTTGGTCCTTTTGAAGGTGACATATCCACTACAACAGATTCTAGTATCTGCGATGATAGCGATAGTTGTGCTACAGAATCCTGCGAAGGCGATAATTGTACCGAAGATAAGGAAGTAACTACACCTAATGCCTTAAGCGAAGAGTGCAACGACATGAGTTGCGAGCAAAGTAGCGAAACACCTTGTGTAGGTCCGAATTGTTCGGTAACGTCTCAATCCGCAGAATGTCAAGGCTCCGATGAAAAATGTAACGCAGAAAATTGCTTAGATTCAAGCTGCAGTACTCCAATTACTACTTCAGAACCTACTGTGGCACCCACTATCGTACCAACTTCAGAATTCACTGCAGTACCTACTCTACTACCTATAACACTACATCCAATAGTATCTACTGTAGTATCGACTGTACCCACAAGCACGATCAATCCAACAACTACCACTTATGCACCCACCACTACCGATGCACTTGACATAACTACGGAGAGCTGTGGCGATTCGGAGTGTTCAACATCGGAAAATTGTGATAAAGGATCCTGTTCCAACGAAGAAAATTGCAATTCTGAAAATTGTGCCGAATCAACTGAAAAATGTGAAGGATCCGATTGCTCTGACAGCTCGAGTAATTGTAAAGATAGTAACGATGAAGATTGCAATAATACAACGTCAAAGCCTGAAAATGAAACCGTAGAGCACAATTTAATCGGCAAGAGTGTAATCTGTGATTCTGAAGACTGTTCTGAAAAATCTAGCCCATCATGTCAAGGGCCGAATTGTAGTTCAGCGGAATTAAATGATTCGAGTAAGCCTTGTCATGGTACAGATTGTCCAACAAAAACTCAGGATTGCGATGGAAAAGATTGTCCCGATTCATCTGAAAATGATTCTGATCCGACAACTCCGAATACCGGAGACAATGTCACAAAGACGCATTTCGATAAAACAATAACTGAGAAACCCAGGTCCAACCTATGTATTTCTAAAGATCCACATCGTAAACGCAAGGCTGAGCATTTGCAAAAGATAAGGAAACTAACTGCTTTGCTTGCTGACAAACCAAATAGACAAGGAGCCCTATTAGACAGCAATGAATATCCCTCGAATAATCTGAATGCATTCAGATTTCCAAAATACAACGGGAATATTAGCGGGCGCGTTAAAACGTTAATTCAAAAATTAAAGACGGGCAAATCGTTTAAAAAACTACAGGATTCGTTTAAAAACACGCAGGCTAACGCGTACAGCAATAGCATGAATATTCCTGAAAATATGAATAATCAGAATAGAAGAAAGCTTGTGGTGAAAAATAGTATACTCTCTCAACAAAATAGTCAACATCATCGTGAGGTAACCGAGAAGAGAATAATTCAAAAACAACTGAAAGAATCTTCAAAGAATACAAGAGCTATAAAGATAAACAACAGAGTAGAAATGCGTAGGAAACTTCCCATAAAGCTTAGAGCTTACGATCCTAACATGATCCTTCAATCAAAGCGAAATAATCCAAATAAAAATTAAACATGTACTAAAAAAGGCATGATTAACATTCATCGGCTCTAATTATCTAAACACTAATCGAACGAATTATTTAACGGATTATGCAAAAAATCTACGGACATTAATGTTACACAATGTATATAATCTTGTCAATATAAAATAATATTAAGAAATGTTAATCGTTTTATGACAATGAATAATGTACTGTGTTTAATTGTAATTTAAAAACATCTCACAATAAAAAAATAACAAGAAAATCAAATATTTTAAATATAATTTTTAAATACAGAACTAGAACAAAAGCTTTTATATTAGAACCAAAGGATGGATAAAAGCAATGTCATTTGATTAAACATATATGTTTAAACGTTGTTGTATTTTATAAAATAACAGGAAATTAGTTAACTGTAAATAAGATTATAATATTTCGAGTTTCTTAATATTTTACATAATAAGTTTAAAGAATAAATAATATAATTATAGTCATACAAATGTATTCGCTAAATTTTGAATTTTCATTTCACTAAATGTTTTGAAAATATTTTGATTACAATTCATTATTCCATTCGGTTAAAGAGTTGCAATAAAAGCTTCACATAAAACAAATAAAACTTTAAATAAAATTTAATATTTCAGTTAAAATTTTGTTAATTAATTGTTATTTTTAACACGTTCCAATAAACAAAACTCCATTATAATAAATAGACTCGTGTAAATAGATAAGAATTGAATAATTAAAAGAAACTCACATTTAAAATACACATAAATGTAAAACGAATTAAATCTATGAATAATATTTTTCCATTTTTGTTCAATAGCTTAATGATAACAGTACATAATGGCAATAAAAGTCTATGAAATACAAAGCAATCTGAATTACCTTTATGATTTGTAACCACATCAATTGATATCGAAGAATCATAATTAATATTTTATTTGTCAAAATAATTTGATTAACAATATCTCATAATTTAAGTATATATTTACAATTATTCAAAATTTATTTACAATTACTACATAAATACGGAAGATTTAATTGAAATAATTATATCCTATTCAAAAACAATTTTACAGTATATTCTAATTTTTTTAGAATTAAAGTAGCACTTCATTTTATCTTGAACGTAATTTACACATAAACAAATTAAGGTAGCTTAATTGCATAGAACTATCGTAAAAATAAATTCTCAATTACTTTATAACAATTTAATGGCCATAATTTATTTCTATAAAAGTCCCAATATTTATTTTTAGAAATGTGAATTTGTATAATACATAGATTATATATATATGATATATATGCATGTATTTATTAAATTTTTTTACATATACGCGCTCCAAGATATTTCTTTAAATTATTCTATAAGTATCTTGGACATTTCATATTAAATGAGCTATCTTTATAAAAATATTTGATTAACATTATTACTTTGTATTTGTTTTAATATATAACATTCATGAAATTGAAATATTGTTTTATCAACAAATTGTTAAGCTAATTTTATGTTATTATAATTTTCAAAAGTCAATCATTGCATAAAACTGTATATATAAAAAAAAACATATTTTTGAAAAATACAATTTTTATACCTCAAAAAAATTTTGTTTTTAAATATCATTTATTCTGCACGTAAATATAAATTTAGATAGTGCCTATAATATTATATGTATAAATATTTTAATATATATATATATATATATATATATATATATTAATTTATTGTTAAAAAATTTGTTAAAATAATGAATATAGTTAAAATTTTGAGAAATTTAATAGTGTGTACCTACCGATTTACTAAATTTTGATTAATAATTACAGATTTTTGTACGAAAATTCTTCACGATAATCATGCATTGTCATTTTGTGACAATTCTGAATGAAAAAATTCCAAGTCATTAATTATCATTTCGTGTTTTCTATAATTTCTAGTCTTTTCAGCTTCTATAAGTGAACTTTATACATTTATCACTTATAGAAGTGAAAAAACTTATTTTATCCAAGCTTACTTTATTACAATGAATATAATGTACGGACTTATTTATTATATTAAATTAACTAAGAATTGTAAATAATAATTTGGAAAATACATTTTATTTTTATAAATATATTGAAATATTACATTAAATAAAGAAAATAACACTAATTAGTAATATATACTATGCAACTAGTAATATATAATTTTCCTACATAAACAAAATTATGAAAAATTATTTTTATAAATATTTTATTATAAATATATTTTAAATTATAATTACCTGAAGAAATATGAAGAATTTTTAAGGAAATATAAATAAAACTAATCGCCACTAAACTACATGTCATAACTGAGTATTTTTCTTTAACAAGTAGATATGTGTCTAATTTGTTTTTAAAGATCTTTATTAAAAACTTATTTTATTATTATGATAAGTAACGTATTTCGAGATATTATTAATTAATGAAATAAGATATTTCAAGTGGATAGAATTCAAAGCTATTCGATCATATATAGAAAATAATGTATAATAAATATATGTAATTTGAATTTTTATTCATTATAGTTAAATATAATTATTTTTGGTTATCTTGAATATCCTTTGAATGATAAGAATGAATAATGTTTAATTGTATAACTATAAATTTTGCAAAATTCAAAAGAATCAATAGTAATTCTAATACTCGTTTTAACTGGCAAAATCTAATTTACTAATATTCTAACATTTTAAATAATTAAATGCACATTGAAACTGAAATTAAATTATTTGAAATCGAATTGAATTATAATAAGGTATGAATAAAAATAAAACTCTAAACTTAATTTTTGAGTAATGTTATGAAATATTTATTACTTACAATTAAGAATACTTACAATTCAAACACATTACAAATAACATTAATAATTTAAAATATTTGAACATCACAAAAAATTAATTTTACTTGTAGAATATCTTTTGAACGAACTCCCTAACGTAATTATAGATGAATGTTACTTTTGTTATTTAGTATAAAAAAAATTTTACGTCCCCAAATTAGAAATTTTGTTAAATATATATAAGGAGAATTTTTAACCATAAACATAATACAATATATCATTTATATTTGCATTGAATGATATTCTTGATTCTATAAAGTTTCCATGAAATATTAAAGAAAAATTCATATTTTTATATCTATTCTCATCATTGATTATTGATTAAAAGTTTTTTCAACATATATATTATGTATGCTAACTTATAATGGGCATTTTTTATCGTAGCCCCAATCATCTTTTATCATATCCGCAACTTTCTCCCCAATCATAATTACTGGAATATTGGTATGTCCAGTGATAATTTTCGGCATTATTGATGCATCAGCAACTCGTAATCTTCTTATACCTTTGACCTGTAATATCAATGTAATATGTTAAATAACTTAAAGTTTAATTATCGATAATATATCGATGCAATATCATAGAATTAGCATTTTTATAAAAATGTATTTCAATCATTTAATAACGCTAAAAAAAAAAAAAAAAAAATACAGTATATCTTAATAATATATTTCTCGCTTTAAAGGCGTAATTGTTCGAAACAATAAATTATAATTGTATTCAATACGCGAATGTTACATGTATGGATTGTTAACTCACTTGTAATTTTGGATTAACAACACCCGTCGCATCATTATCCGCTCCCATTTTACAAGTTCCCGAATAATCGTACATTGTAAAAGTAAATGTTCTTAAAGCACATTCCCAATATTTATTCGAATCATATTCGTAATGTTCACATCCTGGTACAGCGAAATTATAAATCTTTGAATTGAATCGTAGCATTGCCCTTGTTTTGCTTATTTCAATGGCCGTCCGTATTCCTTTTATCATAATTTTGACATCTTCCGGGTCTTCGAAATAATTCGCAAATATTTTTGGTTTCGATTTTGGATCTTTATTTCGTAGTAAAACCTTGCCCTTACTATTTGGATGCATTAATATTGGAAGAATTGTCCATGAATGATGGCCAGCAATTTTAGAAAATATCTTATTCCAATATTCGTCCGATATATTTAAGATATTACGAAGAGAGTAATCGGAAATAATGGACGTACCGATAAAAAGTAATTCAACGTCTGGAAATCCGTCTAAAGTCCTATGATTGCCAAAATTGACAAAAGCTAGTGCTTCGTACCCACCTGGAACTGTATAAGGCCCTATCCGTCTATTAAAGAAGTCCTTTAAATAAGGCTTTAAAGGATTTGTCGTATCATTGATGGCAATACTAATTGGTTGATCGACTAAAAAAATCAAACCGCCGTACGCAACATGATCCATTAAATTCTCGCCAATTGGTGAATCATGAATCATTTGAATGTTCATTTCATTTAAATGTTTAACTGGACCAACACCCGACAGCATTAAGATTTGAGCCGAGCCAATTGCACCAGCACAGAGAATAATTTCTTTTCTTGCTCTCACCCGGTAGTTTACGCCAAGTTTTGTAAAATCTACGCCATAAGCACGTTTAGTTAACGAATTTATAAGCACCTTATTGACGTGACTAAGCCTTGATAAAAACAGATTTTTTCTTTTACTTGCGGGATTCAGGTATGCTCTGTTGGTGCTCATCCTTGTTCCGTTTATCATCGTACACTGGATGTACGAAAAGCCAATATCTTGATTAGCATTATAATCTATGATTGGATATCTCATTTCAAGTCCAGCTTCTAAAAAACTTTCTGCTAATGGCGTATGGTAAGGCGGATAATTTATGTGAACTGGACCTTTTGTACTGTGCATCATCCTATCGTACTTTAAATTCTTGATTTCAATATTCTCAAGCTTCTTAAAATACTTTAATAATTCTTCGGACGACCATCCGTCATTGCCCATGGCAGCCCATCTGTCGTAATCCAAAGCGATTCCTCTCGTCGCTATCATATAATTTAAAGCACTGCTTCCCCCCATAACTTTACCCTTCGGCCAGCTGCACCGTTGATTTTTCATCCCTCGACAATAGGAATTGGATCGTTCAGTATGGAACTTCCAATTGAGATCGTTGCTGAATTGAAGATAATGAGCTAGTAACGGCATGTCCATAAAAATATTTTCACTTGGACCGGCTTCAATGAGCAGTACCGTCACGTCTTTTATCTCACTGAGTCTTGAGGCTACCGTAGCACCCGCCGTGCCACCGCCAACAATTATAAAATCATACTCTTGATTAAGCTCCGGTGTGCTATCTTTCAATTTATTGTCAATAAAATCTTTGTTTTCGTACAAATATTTCAGTGCCCCGTTAGCCAATGATGACAAGGTTTCTCTCACGGAGCTGCTGTCCTCTGTAAAGCCGTAGAGATTTTTATAACTCAGGACGTTTCGCCTATATATCGATCCACAAACTTCGATCAAAGCCATCATAATGGGTGCGAAAATTAATATATTCATATTGCTAATTGCTTAAAAGAATTTAGCATAACTATAAAAAAAAATAAAACAAAAAAAAATGAATATGTAAGCTAAAAGTCAAATATTTTTCATTTCATTTCACTCCCGCAATTTAACCACAATCATTATTTTATCCCAATAACGTAAAAACGTTTCGTGGTTTTAAGGTCTTTTTAATTTTGAACAATTTTCACCAAACACTCACGTTTATATTTGAATTTAATATTATGTTTTTATGATCTTATTTTTTTTTTATGTATACGACAATGCCATTTTCTTCAAAGTTTCGTGTAACTTAAAACACAATGAACAAACGCATCTGCTCTTCGACATTCATCGAGCAACGAATTTTCGCATCTAAATTTATTTGGAAACAATATGTATGGAAAGGTAAAAGATGTTTGTTGCTGATTTGGCAAACATACATGAATGCTATGCGAGCAAAAATACCCTGAAAATAAGCCAAAATTTCTATATTATCAATCATAATTTAATATTTTCATCAATCCGCAAAAAAAGGAAAGAAAAAGAAATAAATAAAACAGAAAAAAAGAAAAAGTTTTAATGTTTAATTATTTGTTATTACAAACATGAAATTACTTGCTTGAAGCATTACATTACATAAGAATTAAATAAGAAATTATTTATAAACATTGACTTGTTGATAAAGTGAATTTTAATTCTACTGAAAAAATAATTCATTAATTAAGCCATAATTGCCACTATTGAAAACATTATTTTTTAAACAATAAATATTATAATGTGTATTTCATTCGTTTTAAAGCGCTCATATTTAGACATACATGTAATCTTGTTGAAAGATAGCATTTATCGAAAGAAATGTTTACATTTATTGAAAACGGTTAAACTTTATCGATTATTCAACTATACTAAGAATCCTATGCCGTTCTAAGCAAACTTTCACATTTAAAAAATGTTAATATAGTTTGAGTAAAATATTTTTTTCAAGTACTAATTTGCCATTTGAATGAGACATTTAATTTAAATTTGAAATAAGGATATAAACAAATGAATATAAAAATTTCATACTTATAGATAAACATTCAATATGTGTGTGTGTGTGTGTGTGTGTGTGTGTGTGTGTGCGTGCCTTAAACATATAAATTTAGTAGATAAATTTTACGTTAAATTTTAATTCAATATAAATTTGTTTATATTTTTGTACATTAATTTAATTTGTACATAATTGGATTTAAAAAATATAAATAAATAATAAACACAAGTATTCTTTTAATTTATTATACATACATGATCTTTATTATATATAAAGATTATGGTTTTATAAATAAACTTGATAAAAAAACTTAAATTATTTTTAAAGATATAAGGTTTAAATAGTATTCTTTTAATATTGTTAGAATTACATTATCCACATACAATCCATATACAACCATATATATATATATAAAACGAAATATATCGAAGGATACATTAAAGCATAAAGTTTAAATAAAAGTTTAAATTCATGAATGATAAAATATTAAAATACTTAACATTCTCTTACTTATGATTTTTAAAAATTTTATTCACCTTCTTCGATTCATTTACGGTTTTTACTAATTTTATATTTTCAATGTATTGCGGTCATGAAAAATTTATTTTTATTTTCATAAGAAAAATATAAACAGAATTCTTTTAAAAAATAAAAATATAATTAAAATGCTGTCTATCTTATACAAATAAGATATTTTTTACACAAAATTTTTTATTTAGTTTTCCTAATTTTAAGAACAAGTTTGTCCCCGTGAAATAATTCAAAATAATATAAGTATTAAAATTGTCGTTAAAATTAAAATATTCAATCGTCATTATTAACACAATATTTATAGAATATGTACAGATATATGATTGTTATTAACACAATTTAGCCGAATAAAAACAGTATTTTTCTATAAAATATAAGCAAGATTGTTTAAGGAATTCAAATATTAAAATTTTTCTTATAATTTAGAGTAACAAATTCATTAATTTTGAATTTAATATTTATAGTATTATTAATATTACTTAATGTTAAATAATAATTTTAAATAATATTAAATAATATTAAATAATTAATATTAAATAATAATAATAAGATTATTATCACATTACAAGTATAAATGTAAGTACTTATCACACTTAAAAATTGAACAAAATTAATGTCACGTTATTTCGCACAAAAAAATATTTATAATTTTTGTTTTGAAAAGTTTTGCAAATTCAACTCAATACTTTAATATTACATAATTAAGAATTATTTATTGATTAGTCAAACTACTTATTAATGGAATTTCATTATGTCTAGTTAATTTACTTATAAACCAATAAAATGCTGTGTATTTATATTTATATAAAAATGTTTTTAATTATTTAACTTAAATAAGTTCATTGTGGAACTACAGACGTTATTATTCTTAACAGTTAATGCTGATGTTTTTATATTACATAAATGAATAAATAAATTAAATGCAAATATATTGTAATGTTTAGAGAATTTATATTTGAATGTTAGAAAATAATTATTCTTATTTTTTCATTCAAACTTATTTCGTATTTAAACCAGAAATAAGTATTTTCACAAATGTTAATGATAATAACTATTATTAAATCTAAATGAAATGTATTGCTTATTAACCATAGAGTACGTTATAAATGAATAAGTAAAAACATTTTTTATAGAATAAAGAGAAAAATATAATTGTAATAATAGATAGATAAATAGATAGGATAGTTGATATTTTAATTTACAACAACCACTATAATTTTGTTCGTCTAAATCAACAAAATTCTTTACAATAATACAATTTCTTGATTTAAATAAACAATTCAACTGTCATAGATTTAAATCAATATGGCTTTAATATTATAATAACAGCAGCTGTATACTCATAAAAACAAACATTTCGCCAAGTAATCGAGACTAGATGAATTAGATTATGAATTATATATAAAGAGATAAATTAGAATTATGAATTAAATATAAAAATAAAGTTTGGAAAAAATATTAGGCACCTATTTCAGATTCATTTGTAATTAAATTAGCATATACAATGAAATATTCAAGAAGATTAATGATGAAAGAAAAATATTAATTACATAATTGATTGTGTCATAATTAATTTTAACCTAAAAACTCTAATGAAATTAATTCACATTTCACTTAAATTATTAAAAGTGTAATTATAATGCTTATAAATGAACTTTGAAAAATAGATTGTTCTCGATGATAAATTTTTTAATTTAGAGGAATTCTGTATGATAAAAATGATGCTGGAAATAGAAGAAATTTATTTATATAACATAGAGCACAATTTATCTTTCCTCTAATTTCAATATCTTTATATTGAAATTTATACATACATATTTATAAATTATAAAAAAAAAAAAAAAAAAAAAAAAAAAAAAAAAAATCCCCTTACTTACTTAACGTCAACTAGACGAATTCTATCTAATAAACCCTAAAGAAACGCTAAAAATCTAAACAAAAATGATTTCTAAACATAACCTTTATGCCAAAAAGCAGCTAAATATTATTATTTGTATGATTAATTAGGATTTTGCAGATTTTACTTGTAATGAAAAATGTATTTTGCATGATGAATAAGACAAACAGGATGAATATATTAATTTTTTGTTTTCATTTATAATTATTATAGTTATAATTATTTTATTTCGTAATATTATTAAAATGTGAAATATGTATTAGCTGAAAGTAAAGTAATATAAACGATTTATAGTTTCAGTGAGAAAAGTATATATTTACTTAGCCACGTACATAAGGATAATACTGACTTCGCCACTATAATGGTAAAGACTGATAAAAGAATATTAAAAATTCTATAAAACTTTCGGCACTAAATTTTCCCGCAATGAAATAATAGGAAGAGCCGAGATAATATTAGCGTGCATTAGAATTCATCAATGTCAAAGTTTTATAAATATCACAAAAATTACAGCTTTATTTCAAGCAATCAATTATAAAATAATCATAATAATACTGCATGCAGAGGAAGGAGAGAAAAGGAGGGGAGCATATTTAAGAGGTCGGCCAAGCTCAACTGTAAAAGGCCGCGTTGCAATAATCGTAAAAAGCCGGTAACAAGCCACTCCACGCAGGTTGAAAAGTTAATTTCACTCGTGTGATCAGCCGTCGTCGCTTATGTATACGCTGATGTCGTGTACCTCTCATTAAACGGTAAGCAAAAAGGCCTCGACAGCATTGCCGATCGGAGGCGCGTGAGCGTCAATATATAAATCGCATTAAAGGACGGTATCGAACGTAATTAATTTTACCGAAGCAGCGACATGGTAGTGGAAAAGTTTATCGTCTCGAACGCAATAATGTCATTTTATTTTGAGCCTTGTTTGATTTCATAAGTACAGCAACCCGCAATACGTGCGAACCAGCGTATATGTATGCATACGCTACCTGACTCAATACGTATAAATCCTAAATCTATTTCATTTTATTATTTTCATTTACTTATTTATACGTATATGTAGTAGTGACTGAGGGCAGACTTTTTTTGTTCTTTTTTTTTTTTTTTTTTATTATTTACTATGATATTCCAGAACGCCCCGAGCAGATATTGCACTGTCAATATTGTGACGCGGCAGTTGGTTTAATATTATCCTATAAAGTACAACTAAATCTATTTATTCATCCAATTATTTATATAAATGTGATATGCGAAATTTTGATATATTTCGATAATGATTTTTCTGTATTTTAATTTTGTATATTTGCAAGAAACGCATGCGAATAAAATTCGAAGATTTTATGAATAGAACGATACATCGATAATATTGAAATATTTTTTGAAATTTTTTTTTATTTACAAAAGTTTTTTCATATTTCAAAAGGTTGAATAATATTTGTCCCGACTTTACTCTAATGATTATTTAAAAGTTTATAGGAATATCGTTATTAAAATACTTTTATATTAAAATGCCTACTATATATTATGTACATATGGTAATTTACTTTTTATAT